AGAAGTAGTGATGAAAATTATTTATATATTTATTTATTTATTTACTTTAGCTACTCTGTTCTCAGAATATATTAAAAGCAGTGTAACCTTTATTTAAATAAGGAATATGGTTGTTGTAAAGATACTGAGATCCAGGGACGTACCTGTGACAGGATTATGAACTAATCCAGATTAATTATAGCTGCATGAACATATCAGTAGCATATTCCAAAATTTAGCAGTGAACGCTTCCATGTTTCACATTTCAAAATGATAACCTTTTAAATGGAGTGAATTTACCCAGCTCATGTGCCTCGAGGATATGTTTCTCTAGGCAGTGCCCACTTCTGAAGTTGTTGTTTTTTCGTGCGTTGTGATATAACCATAAGAATAATTTAGATATACGTAATTTGTTGAAATAGTAAAGATATACAGTGGCGATCGGTACAAAGATAACTTCAATGAAGTCGTACAATACGCAAGAATGACAAAAGCGTAAATTTGCCTTGTAGATTCACCTAAGTTGACATTTTTTTTCCCACCGGCTCTCTGAATGATGAGGTTCTAGGAGCCTTCCTGTTTTGGTAGACAGGGACTAGGCGTGAAGAACTTGCATGTTCTTATTATTTATTTTCTGTTGATTTTTATTTAAAACCGACGGAATGACTGACTGAATAAATGAATGGCAGCGAATGACCGACCGACAGACCGACCGAGGAGAGAGAAGGGGAGAGGGATCTGATAGGGGGCGTGAATGGGGAAGGGGAGAGGGATCAGAGAGAGGGGAGGGGGGGAGGGGATAGGGATCAGAGAGAGGGGAGGGGGGGGGAGGGGAGAGGGATCAGAGAGAGGGGAGGGGGGGGGAGGGGATAGGGATCAGAGAGAGGGGAGGGGGGGGGGGAGGATAGCAACGGGTGATATTGGCTCGCAAACACAGATCTGATTGACTGCCTTTTGTGTCAGGCGCTTGCAGGCATGGGGAGCTCTTTTTATCCGGCTATTTGTTTTTTTTTTAATGCGTGATATTACTTCATGAATGTCGATTTTTTTAAAACAGTTAAGCAAGGGTTAAGCGGAGGGGGGGGGGGGAGTTTAAGGGCTTTCGCGAGAGGGGGAGAAAGAGAGAGGAAGTGATAGGCTGTTGTTGCTGTCCTCCTCCTCCTCCTCCTCCTTCTTCTCCTCCTCCTCCTCCTCCTCCTTCTTCTCCTCCTCCTCCTCCTCCTCCTCCTCCTCCTTCTTCTCCTCCTCCTCCTCCTCCTCCTCCTCCTTCTTCTCCTCCTCCTCCTCCTCCTCCTCCTCCTCCTCCTCCTCCTCCTCCTCCTCCTCATTCACTTCCTCCTTCACTTCCTCCTTCACCTCCTCCTCCTTTTCCTTCTCCTCCTTTTCCTTCTTTTCTTCCTTCTCTCCTCCTCCTCCTCCTCCTCCTCCTCCTCCTCCTTCCTCCTCCTCCTCCTCCTCCTCATTTTCCTTCCCTACATCCTCTTCCCTCCCTCCCTCACCTCCCTCTCCCCCTTTCCTCTTCCTCTCCTTCCCTCCCTTCCCAACTTTTTTGTTTTCTCCTTTCTCTTCCCCTCTCTTCCTTCCCTCGCACCCCATCTTTCTCTCCTTCTCCTGTCGTCTTCGTCCTCTTCCTTCCCTTCCCCCTCCTCTCCCCTCCTTTTCCTGTCTCCTCCCCCTCCTCCTCTTCTCGTCATCTCCCCTCCCCCTCCTTCCTTCTCCCTTCCCTCCTTCCCCTTATTTCTTCCCTCTTTCTTTTTATTTCTTCCCTCTTCTCCTCTCATCCTCTTCTCTTCCTCTTCCTTCCTTCCTTCCTTCCTTCCTTCCTTCCTTTCTTCTCCTTCCCTTCCTTCTCCCTTCCTTCTCCCTTCCCTCCTTCTCCTTCTTCTTCTTCTTCATTCTCTCATCCCTCCTCCATCTTCCTTCCATCTCCCTTCCCTCCTTCTCCTTCTTCTTCTTCTTCATTCTCCCATCCTTCCTCCATCTTCCTTCTATCTTCCTTCCATCTTCCTTCCCTCTTCCTTCCCTCCTCTCGCCTCCGCTGACCCCCGCTTAATCATTGCAAGTGGAATGAAAAAAAAAAACACCATAAATATTCATGACTGTTGGTTTACTTTCCCTCATATAGACGTCGGCCGTGTACTGCATGATGCATTTTGCTCGTTTATATGGAAAGCAGCTCACTCCCGTTGCCCCCACCCCCCACCGCTGCCCAAAACAGAGAGGGAGGGAAGGAGGGGGAGGGAAGGAAGGAAGGAGGGTGAGAGGGAGGGAGGGGAAGAGAGGAAGGGAGGAAAAGGAGGGAGAAACAGACAGACAGACAGAGAGCGAAAGGAACCCGTTGGAGGGGAAAAAGCGAGCGCAAAAGTCAAGAAAAGGTGGGAGTTAAGACAAGGAAATAAATAGGGTGATTGAGAAGACCCTTATTTAAGGCTTTGTTTCGAAAAGTTGGTAATCGGAGCAGAGATTGGACGGCGCCCCTTTTATCCGGAGGAGCCTCTATAAGATCGCTATCCCGGCTGCCGTCCACCGCCCCTGGGCTGGGAGGGGAGGGGGAGGGGCAGGGAAGGCGGGAGGGGTTGGATGCAAGTGTTTGTTTACTTTGATAATCTGTTTATTATTATTATTTGACGTTAGTGGTAACACCGAGTGTTGTTATCGCGTTCACCGTCGTCACCTGTCCTGCCGCCACGACCCCCCCCCCCCCCCCACGGTTAGGGTCTCGCGCGTCCCCTCGGCGTCCCCTGAGAGGTGTGGCCCATTAGGATTCCGTTGGTTCCCCCCCGAGGAAGGCTTGGGGGGGGGGGAGGCAAAGAGGAGGGAGGAAGGGGGAAGAGGCATAGACATAAATATGGATGTAGGCAGGAAGATAGACAGGTAGGAAGGCAAGCAGGCAGGCAGGCAGAGACAGACAGAGACAGACAGACTGACAGAAGGCATTAGTGTATTTTTGTATGTATGCATAAAGGCATATAATATACAATAATTCTTCCATACATGCATAGAGTTAGGCAGTTACGTATAGCGACAGTGATAGTGATAGTTATAGAGATAGAGATAGAGATGGAGAAAGATAAATAGAGAGAAAGAGGAAGAAAAAGAGATAGAGATGGAGATGGAGAAAGATAAATAGAGAGAAGGAGAAAGAAAAAGAGATAGGGATGGAGATGGAGAAGAGATAGAGATCGAGATGGAGAAAGATAAATAGAGAGAAAGAGAAAGAAAAAGAGATAGAAATGGAGATAGAGACAGAGAGCAAGAGCTGGAGGAACAGACAAACCCGTGAGAAATCCTTGACGAGTCTCCGCCAGCGCCGGCCCCGGGAACGGACCGTGGGAGTCCCGCTCGCGCCTTCAGGAGGATTCCCTCAGGAGATCCCCGGAGGAAATCCCTAGCAGCGGGCAGCTGGCACAGGGGAAGGAGGGATTATAATAGGATATTGATCCTTCAGCTGGCAGGCAGGTGGTGGTCTCGCAGGAGGGGAGGGGAAGGGAGGGGAGGGAAGGGAAGGGAAGGGGAGGGGAAGGGAAGGGAAGGGAAGGGAAGGGAAGGGGAGGGGAGGGGAGGGGAGGGGAGGGGAGGGAAGGGAAGGGAAGGGAAAGGAAGGGAAGGGAAGGGAAGGGAAGGGAAGGGAAGGGAAGGGAAGGGAAGGGAAGGGATGGGAAGGGAAGGGGAAGGGGAGGGAAGGGGAGGGAAGGGGAGGGAAGGGGAGGGAAGGGGAGGGAAGGGGAGGGGAAGGGAAGGGAAGGGGAGGGGAGGGGGACGGGGAGGAAAGGAAAGAGGAATGAAGGAAAGAATGAATAAAGGAAGGAGAGAAGAAGGGAGTGATGGATGGTGAAGAGAGGTAGGAAGGATGGAAGGAGAGAATGGAGGAACGAAAGAAGGAGGGAGAGATAGGAGGGGAGGAAAGAGAGGAAGGAAGGATGGAAGGAAAGAATGAAAGAAAGAAATTAGGCGGAAGAGACAGGCAAAGGAGGAAGGATAGAAAGAAAGGAAGAAATGAGGAGGGAGAGAGAAGGGGAAGCGAGGAAGTAAGAAAGAAAATGAATACACAAGTAGATAAATAAATGAATACAAAATAAATGAGAAGGAAAAGGAAATGAAAGAAAGATGGAAAAAGGATGGAGGGAAGGAATAAGGACGGAGAATGAAAGGTACAGAGGGAGAAGGAGGGACAGAGGGAGGGAAGAATTAGTCATTTGAATGGGTCAGCTGACGGGTGTCATCTCTGCGCGGGGATGGTGTTGACTGATGACGATGATGGTGTTGACTGATGACGATGATGGTGAAGGTGATGGTGATGATGGTGAAAGTGATAGTGATGGTGATGGTGACGATGGTGAAGGTGATGGTGACGATGGTGATGGTGATGAAGGTGAAGGTGATGCTGATGATGGTGAAGGTGATGCTGATGGTGATGATGAAGGTGGTGGTGATGAGGAAGGTGATGGTGATGATGGTGAAGGTGATGGTGATGATGATGAAGGTGATGGTGATGATGAGGAAGGTGATGGTGACGATGGTGAAGGTGATGGTGATGAAGGTGGTGGTGATGATGAAGATGAAGGTGAAGGTGATTGTGAAAGTGAGTGATGGCGGTGGAGCTGGTGGTAGTCGAGCGACGACTGAGTGGGGCGAGCAGAGCTAATGGGATTTGGCAGGTTGTGAAATGATTGAGTCATTGGCTTGAGGGCAAAAAATGGCTTTATGTTTATTCCGAAAGTGCTTGGAGATAATGAGAGAATGAATAGTTCGGCTTTGTATTAATTGAATTACCTATCTATTCACTGTGTAAGTCCGTACACAGAGACTAGAGAATGATTATAGATAGATAGATAGATAGATAGATAGATAGATAGATAGATAGATAGATAGATAGATAGATAGATAGATAGATAGATAGATAGATAGATAGATAGAGAGATAGATAGATATAATGATTTGCGAAAAGAGTGATTTAACCACATGTTATTTTTCCTTTTGCCAGCATCACTTCTAACCCCCCCCCCCCTCTCTCTCCCCAGGGCGGAAATGCGGCCATAGCGGGCGAGGATGCGTATGTGGAGGAGGAGGACGCCCAGGGCCGCCCGTCCGACGCCCACCACGCCGGCGTCCGTCAGGTACTTTGTTTTTCCTTTTAATTTCTCAAATATTTTCTCTCCCCGATCATCCTCGAATCCCCCCCCCCCCCATACACACACACACAAATAGATACACACACACACACACACACACACACACACACACACACACACACACACACACACACACACACACACACACACACACACACAACACAAACACAAACACACACACCGAGCTAAAGAGCTAGAGCTGAGCGGCTGCCCCTCTCTCTCTCCCCCCCCGCAGGACGAGGCTGAGGGCGGCGCGGGCGGAGGCGGGCTGTCGCGGGTGTCCGAGGTGCCGTGCGTCATCAACGGCGAGTACGAAGTGGGCTGCCGGAGGGACGAGCGCGACGTGTTCGTCCCTTTCTCGTTCATCCACAACTACTTCGAGGTGAGTGTCCGGCGGGGTTCTTGGTTTTCCGCGTCCTTGTTTTCTCTCTTGTTCTCTCCTCCTCTCTTTCTTTCTTTCTTTCTTCTTTTTCTTTCTTCTTCTTCTTCTTCCTCGTTGTTCTATTTTTTTTTTTTTTTTTTTTTTTTTTTTTGGGGGGGGGGGTATTCTTATTTCGTCCTTTTTGTTTTTTGGTTCTGTTTCTTTTTTGTTCTTTCTCCTGTCTTCGTTTTTTTTTCTTTTGGTTCTATTTCTTTTTTGTTCTTTCTCCTGTCTTCGTTTTTTTTTCTTTTGGTTCTGTTTCTTTTTTGTTCTTTCTCCTGTCTTCGTTTTTTTTTTTTGTTTTGTTTTTTGTTCTTCCAGCTTCTCCATTGTCACTTCTTGTTCTCTCCCCTTTCTTCTCGCCTTCTTGGCATTCTCATGTCATTTAATTACCTTATTCCCTTTTCGGCCTTTTTTTTGTTATCTCCTTTACCCCCCCTTTAGCATATTTTTTTCTGTCTCTCTCCCTCCTTTCTTTTGTTATCCGCCATTTTTCCTTCGCCAATTTCTTCACGTTTTCGAAAAAAAAAACGTATGGGATTAGGATGAGCTTTGCAGGAGAGACTTTAGTAATTTAGTAAAGGAGGAATAATAATAAGAAAATGATAATGATAATAACAGCAAGAAGGGATAATTCAGGAGGAAGTCGTAAAGGAGGAAGAGACTGCCAGAGGAATGATTTTGGAAAGGAAGAGGAAGAGGTGGAGGTAGGAATAAAGAAGGGAGAAGAGGCCAAAAAAAAAAGGAAGGAGAAGCGAGGGAAGAAATATAAACCAGGAAGAACAAAGAAAGGGGGGAGAGAAGACAGGGAGGAAGGGAATGAGAATTGAAGGAGACGTGGAAGGAGAAGAGATAACATCGGGAATGAGGGAATGGAAGCGAACAGAAGAAAACAGAAGAGGGAACTGGAGAGGAACGGGATGAAATCCGTAAGAGACACGAAGACGCGAGGAAGACGTCGGGAAGGAAGAAGGAAAAAAAGAATGGAAGGAAAAGAGAAAGGAAGGAAGAAAGAATGGAAGGAAGGAAGGCAGGCAGGCAGGAAGGAAGGGAAGAAAAGGAGATATGGGAAGAAAGCAAGGAGAGAAGAGAAGAGAAGAGAAGAGAAGAGAAGAGAAGAGAAGAGAAGAGAAGAGAAGAGAAGAGAAGAGAAGAGAAGAGAAGAGAAGAGAAGAGAAGAGAAGAGAAGAGAAGAGAAGAGAAGAGAAGAGAAGAGAAGAGAAAAAAAGAAAAGAAAGAAAGGGAGGGAAGGAAAGGAAAGGGAAGGGAAGGGAAGGGAAGGAAAGGAAGGGAAGGAGGGGAGGAAAGACCACAGCTGAGCGGACATAACTGGGTTACGCCGCGAACTCCGCGTCGCCAAATTGGGTTTTAGCCGACGATTGTCAGTGTAGTTGTCTCGCGAATGTGGGGGGGAGGGGGGAGAAGGAGAATGGTGGGGAGAGCGAGAGGGAAGGAGAAGAATAGAGGGGGAAAGGATGCTTTGGAGAGCGTAGGGGGGAGGGGGAAGGGGGAGAGGGAAGTGGGAGAAAAGGTAGGTAAGTTGAGGAGACGAAAGGAGGGGGAGATGGCAGAGGGGGGAAAGGGGTAAGGATGACGGGGGAAGAGGGGGAGGGAGAGGAGATGGGGGTCGGAGAAAGGGATAAGATGTGAGGAGAGGAGAGGAGGTGGTGGTGGAGGTGGGGATGGCGGAGGATAAGGAGGTGGAGGAAGAGGAGTAAAGATGGGAGAAGGGAGGAAAAGCGGAAATGGAAGAAGGGAGACAATAGAGAGGACATTTTAGAAAAGAACCGAGCTGAAGGCGCATTCTGGCAAGCAGCCTCATTCTCCAGGTGGCCCTCCTGCCCTGGGCCGAAATGGCAGTGTTCTTTGGCCCCGTGTGACAGGCCATAATTACGCGTGTATCTGTTCCCTCGTAGACACAATAGCCGCCCGCGCCCGCCGCCCCTTCCTCCTCCCTCGGCCAAACGCGCGCCCGCCAGGTAATGAGCTCCTCGGGGAATGTCCTGTGACCCGACTCCCGCCCGCCCGCCCGCCGCCCTCAGCCGCCCGGGCGCCTCTCCTCTCGGATCTTGGCCCGCACGAGCTTCACTCCGAGTCGCTTTCTCCCCCCCCCCCCCCCTCCCTCTGCCAAGGAGTGCGTTTCGCCATCATGTTCGTTTCGCCGCCATGCTCGTTTCGCCATCATGGTCGTTTCGCCGCCATGCTCGTTTCGCCATCATGGTCGTTTCGCCGCCATGCTCGTTTCGCCATCATGGTCGTTTCTTCATCATGTTCGTTTCGCCGCTTGTGCCTCTTCCATGGGCGTTTTCCTAATCTCTGCGGTTACTGGATTCCAGAATTCGGCTGCTCTTGCTCTCCCTTCGCTCCTTTGCTTCGTCTATCTCTAACTCTTCTTCCTCTTGTACCTCTATTTCCTCTTCATCTCTACCCCCCTTCCTCCCCCTCCTCCTCCTCCCTCCACCTTCACCACCTTCGCTTCCACTTCCTCTATCCCCACATTCCGTGCTTCTCGTTCACCATCTTTATCTCCTTCTCCTCTTCTACCTCCACCACCGCCTTTACTTTCATTTTTATCTTCATCTCTACTTATGCCTCCACTTCCAACGCATCTATTACCACTTTCGCCTCCTCTACCACTGCCTTTATGTTTTCTTCTTGTTCTTGTTCTTCTTGTTCTTGTTCTTGTTCTTCTTGTTCTTCTTCCTCCTCCTCCTCCTCCTCCTCCTCCTCCTCCTCCAGCCTTCTCCTTCCTCCTCCTCCATCTCCTCCTGCATCTCCTCTTCCTCCTCCTCCATCTCCTCTTCCTCCTCCTCCATCTCCTCTTCCTCCTCCTCCTCCTCCTCCAGCTTCTCCTTCTCCTCCTCCATCTCCTCTTCCTCCTCCTCCTCCTCCTCCTCCTCCTCCATCTCCTCCTCCTCCATCTCCTCCTCCTCCATCTCCTCCTCCTCCTCCATCTCCTCCTCCTCCATCTCCTCCTCCTCCATCTCCTCCTCCTCCATCTCCTCCACCTCCTCCTCCTCCATCTCCTCCTCCTCCTCCTCCATCTCCTCCTCCTCCATCTTCTTCTTCTCCTCCTCCTCCCCCTCCTCTTTCTCTTCCTCTTCCCCCTCCTCCTCCTTCTCCTCCTCCTCCTCCTCCTCCTCCTCCTCCTCCTCCTCTCTTCTCCTCCTCCTCCTCCTCCTCCTCCTCCTCCTCCTCCTCCTCCTCCTCCTCCTCCTCCTCCTCCTCCTCCTCCTCCTTCTCTTTTTCCTCTAACCTCTTGTCTTCATAATGATGTGTAAACATGGAACGTGATTTTACAATTACGGAGCTCCGGCAGACGGCGACCCTAAAGGCAGGGGGGAGTTTCGTGCCTGCGTGTCTGATGACAATCGGCTATTAATTAAATCGTCAAATGCAGTCGCTTTATTGAAAGGGTGAGACGGGGCAAATGGGAGCGGTGGGGCAGCTGCAACATCGCCGGGAACGGGGCGATAGCATGCAGGATTCCCGCTTCGGTTCCGGGGGGGGGGGGGTGGCTGCGGCGTTGCAGTGGGGTGGGTGGGTGGTTGGGACGGCTGGGATTCCGGTCCGAAAATACGGGTTCCTTGTGGCGTTCCTGTCTGGCCCCCGCGTGTCGGTTTGTCTCTGGTTGGCTCTTTCTCTCGCGCCTTTCCTTAAGTGTCTCTTTATCTATTTGTCTCTCTCTTGACGATTTTTAAGTTTTTAAGTTTTTTTTTTTAACTATTATTATTCTCTGTGGACTAATAGGGTAAAACCAGCGATCCTGGCCTATGCAGCATATCGAACGAGGGCGCTCTGCTTATTAATATAATACATATTAGCTTTAACAACAGAAATCTTCATACTCACTGATGTGCTCCGAAGCTCTGCCATACTTCTTCTTATATTGCTTGCTTTGAAATTCTTGCATGGGTGTTTATCAAGCGTGATTTGCAACATCGGGAAATGTTAAAGAGATTCCTTTCGTCTTGCATCATATTTTCTTTCATTTTCCAAAGGCTTTAGGCACATTTGTTGCAAGGTTGGTTACTGTATATGTTACTTGGGAAAACATTATTGCATTATTAATATTATTCTTGTTATTATTGTTGTCATGGTCATTTATCAATATCCTTATTATTATCATTATCATTGGCATTGTTATTATTGTTATTAATATTATTATTATTATTATTATTATTGTTATAGTTATTCTAATTTATAATAATTATAATAATATTATAATCATTATAATTATAATTATAATTATAATCATAATTATAATCATAATTATAATATATAGTAATAATAATAGTGATAATGATAATAATAATAATAGATATTATATTAAAAATAACAGCTATTATTTTTATTTATTATTGTTATTATAATAGTAATAATAACAATAATAATTATTATTATTACAAATATTATGATTATTACTATTTTTTGTTATTATTATTACTATTTTTTTGTTATTATTATTGTTATCATTATCATTATCATTATCATTATTGTTGTTATTGTTATTGTTTTTGTTATTATGCTTACCCAGTGATTCACACATCCTTCCGCAGGTGTATGGCCGAGTGGAGCAGCGTGGGGACGGCACAGATGTGTTTCAGTGGTCCCACAGCTACAGCCGCGTGTATGAGCCTCAGGGCCACTACCTCCCCACCTCCACCTTCCTCAACTTTGAATTGTACAATGTCGAGGCCAGAGAAAGGGTTAAGTGTGTGTCTGCCACTGAGGGTAAGTATAAAGCGGGTGTGAAACTGAGTGAAAATAGATGAAATAGATTTAATACAGTGTTGATGGTGTCTTAATGGGAGAGAGAAATTCTTGCTATAGTGTGTGAAAAGGTTTGGATGAAACTTGGTAAAGACTGATCTATTTTCATAGGGGCTGATGATTTGCATATAGTATTGGAGGGAATATGCATAACATCACAAAGGAAACATGGCACTTGGGAAATTGTCCTCATCAGTTTTTAGTTCTTCTTTCAAAGAAGGAAGGTCTTTAGATGAATTAAGGCATAGAAATATTGGGGTAAATCTTAGGAAAATACATAAACTTATCAAGATTGCAGTAGATGCTTTCTACATATACTTATACAGCAGGTTTTCATATAAAACTGGGAAGTAAGGTTGTCTCTACAGTCTCCTTCTCTCTCTGCAGGTGTACCCATCTCTACCCAGTGGCACAGCTCAGGCTACACATACCCCATCCAGATTGCCCAGTTTGGCTTGGCACACTATTGCAAACATCTCACAGAAAACCCTCCACAAAGGTTTGTCAGTCTTATGCCTTTTCATATGGCCTCTTATACGTGTTTATTCATGATTATGACACTCACTGGTGAAGCTGTTTCATGATTTTGAAGTTTATGTTGATGCTGTTACAGAATTACAAAAGTTTTTGTCTTCTGAAGTTGGTGTATCTTACTTTTCTATGATTGTGAAGGCAATATAAATGATACTGTTCTATACTTCAGGTTCTTGAATAAGGGATTCCTAACCACAGGACTCGAAGTTTGTACTTTGTTCTAATTGAAGGCATCCATCCTTACAGGGTGGTGCTGGAGGACGGTGAGGAGCACAAGGGCAAGTGGGAGGTCCAAGGGCCTACCTCCTCAGTCTCCCGGATCCTTGACCCTCTCACCCACTCCAATGTTCTGAAGTTCAAGACTCCAGGTATGTTTGTAGCAGAGTAATTAGCTCTCATTTGAAATGGTTATTGGAGCATGGATTTTCAGAGAGGATACATGACTTAAAAGATCCTTAGCCTGTTGTCACTGATGCGACTTATGAACTAGGTGAAACAGTGGTAGTGGCAGAGTGAGACAACAGAACTTTTTACAACTGATCACTTCCTCTTTTCAGAGACCTCATCGAAAGGTGGTGCTATGTTAAAACTCAGTGAGGTGTCTACCCAGAATCTTTTAGTTTTGAGTCTCAACCTTCTCCTACAAGGCAATGCCAGCTTTACTGTTACCTTAGAATACAAAGATAAAAGACCAGAAGTGTTTACTCTTCATTATATCCGTTCAGAGACCTTGCTGACTGCCAAGGTAGGTCTTTCTATAGGGAACTTTTTTGTTCAGCTTTAACTTGGGTATATGCATGGATAGATGAATATATGAATTTATAAACATGTAAATATATGAATATGTAGATATATGAATATATGGATATACAGATATATGAAAACATAAATGTAAACATACATACAAGTATATACATGTGTGTGTGTGTGTGTGTGTGTGTGTGTGTGTGTGTGTGTGTGTGTGTGTGTGTGTGTGTGTGTGTGTGTGTGTGTGTGTGTGTGTGTGTGTGTGTGTGTGTGTGTGCGCGCGCGTGTGCGCGTGTGTGTGTGTGTGTGTGTGTGTGTGTGTGTGTGTGTGTGTGTGTGTGTGTGTGTGTGTGTGTGTGTGTGTGTGTGTGTGTGTGTGTGTGTGTGTGTGTGTGTTTATATATAATATGTATATATATTTATATATATATGTTTGTTTTTTATGTATGTATACATGATTGTATATTTACATACATGCACATTATGCAAAGTAGATAAATACTTTAAGCACACATTAATGTTGTTACTCTCCTTTTGCTTGAAGGACCGCCAGATATTTTATGGTTTAGGGAACTCTTCAGGATGGAAGCGCATGACACGCAACCTCCTCATTGATGTTCATAAGGGTGCAGCAGCGTCACCAGCACTTCGTAAAAGGTTTAAAAAGGTTAGTCTTTATATATATATATGCACAGATAGATAAATGGGTAAATAGATAGAAGATAGGAGTTTTTTTTTTGGGTTTGGTATGGTGTGATTAAAGACATATATTTGAAGAATGTTTTTTAGATTTTTTTTTTCTGGCTTTCTTGTTTCAATGTTGTTTCAGTAACATTTCTGGAGAGCTTATCATCCCTAGTGGATTCATTAACATCTGCTCAGTCTCCAGCTCGCTAATACAATGTTTTTCCTTC